CGGGGTTCCGCCCCGCGGGGAAACCCCCTGCCGCTCTCGCGGCGATTCCCAACTGCCTCCTGGATTTTATCCCGCGCTTCTGTCCCCGGGCCCGTCTCCTTTAAGCATCGCCCTCTCCGGATAGGCAAGGACGTGGAGGGCTTGTGCTTTAATGCTTCATTAAAAGTTATTGACTGAGAAAGGCTACAGAAAACTTAGTGGACTTCTCCATGTCACACACGCCTCTGTGTATCCCCAAAAACATTTGGATTCCAGGGCTTTGGCTCAGCCCAGTGGTGCCACAGCGCAGCCCAGCGCGTGGCAAGGGAGCCAGCCTGTCTACCCCAATGGGCACCTTCAAACCTGCCAAAATTAAAAACAGCAGGCAAAGGCTGGAAAGAAACGGGATGTGCAAATAACCCCACTGCTGAGGGACTAGATAAAGACTTCCAGCAACAGAGATTTATTTCAGATATGTAGGGCTAGTAGCCTCCTATCCGAATACATATCTGTTTTGTAGTGAACTCCTGAAATAACAGGGACCTTCAAGTGAGAGCTCTTGACTCAAATGTTTGATTTTTTCCCCTGTGTTCTGGAGTGATTATGTGATCAACAACGAAAGCACTTCAATAGGGTGATTATTTGGCAGGAGGACTTGGCTTGGGCAACACAGTCAGCTGCATCTTCACTTGTAGCAAAAAAAACAAGAGTCCCAACACTGTTAGGTACACACCGTTTTCCTAAGGAAATAAGACTGCCATGGTCATACTGTCTGTTTGCTTGCATTGCTATCCCTCAGCCCAATCACATTGGATTCCCTGGTTTATTTCAATTGCGTGACAGTGGAATCAAGTGCTCAAAAATCATAATAGCAGTGGATAGGGGAGAAAACCTGCAGATGGGCTCTGGGAAAGGCTGCACTTCGAGTCCTCCTCATCCTGAGCAGCCAGGTTAATCAATTGTGGGACACAGACACAGCCATAAGAAACATAACCTCATGAAGAAGAAGCCCATTTAGCCTGCAACCAGAGACTACCAGAATTAATCATTTAAAATAAAATACTAAGTGAGCAGAAGCGGAAACTTTTAGAGTCCCCAGAAAACTGGGGTGCTATGACAGCATTAAAAGACAGTCTGCTGTGAGACTCACAACCATGAGTTGGTCATTCGTGGTTGTAACTGTGTGTGTGCCCTCTCACCCTCTCAAGCAAGAACGTGGAGGACTTGTGCTTTAATGATTCGGTTATTGATTAAAAAAGGTTACAGAAAACTTACTTTTCCGTGTCACACACGAGCAGCCACTATGTGCCTGACTAAGGAGCACTGAAGTTTGGACGATAAGAGTACAAAAGATAAATATCCTTTAGGCACAAGCTGTGACATTTTCCTGTATTACTGCAGCCAAAGACTCTGCCATATGCTCACAGCCTGTGGGAATGGCAAAGCGGACCTGGGAAGAGAGCTCCCCTTTTAAAAAAATGTAATGAAGCACCTGCTGCCACAATGCAAGGAATAATTTAAAACTTTTTGGAAAACGCAACATTGATTACTTCCTTTGGTCTTCTTGATTAACCACAGATACTGAAGAGGTGCTTTACTTAAGTTTTCTGAAAATGTCAACAAGCCACCATGTGTACACGAACTAAAAAGGAAAGACAAAGACACATACATAATAACAAGCCAAACTAACATTACTGCAATCCAGTGACCACTAACTTTTTCTGTCTATGCTAGAGACAAACAGAACCAAAGAATAACAAAAAATAACATTGAAGGAGATGATTGCCTCTTGTATATGTCAATAACTTGAAGCCAACATGGACTTGAATTACAGAAATGTGAACTCTCAGCTGGGAGTATTGGCAGCAAGAGGACACCTCTTCGTTCATCTTCCTCACCTCATCTTCGTTTCTCCCAGCATAGACTGGGGGATTAATTCACACAGGGTCTCTGAAAGAAAAGCTATTTCTTTCTGAACTTTATAAGCCTTTGTAAAAATTTGAGGTGTAGGCCTCAAATCACATACTCAGAAGTACCCCAAAAGACAAAAATATCCCATAGGAATAATATCCTGAAATTAAGAGAGTTACTATTATAGATAGAGAAGTGCTGAGAAAAGAGGTTATTTCCTCTGAACTGAGCTTTCTCTGGAAACAGTTTGACTTTTCTTGTAACTCTAGTATACTACCTTACCTTCATTCTTACTGTCTCACTTGGATATTGTTAGCTGTCTGTAAGCAAAGTAACCCACAGCTGCTGATGCCACTGTGCAGAGTCAGCAGCCACCTTCTGTCTCCTTTAAAGGGATAGAAAAGCTCCTGGCAATAAGAAGGTTTGAGGGTGTATTAGTGCCACTGGGAGCTCTCTTTGAGATTCACAAACTGCTCTTTTGTTTTCTGGACAACTGTTGGTATCTAAAATGCTCCCATGGTTTTAGAATCTAAAACAGCAGAATTGGAAAGTACAAGAGAAAGGAAATATGAAGCTGAATATAAATAATCAAATTTCATGTTTGGAAGGATAGGAAAAGTGCCTGAGAAAGTGTCCATACAAAGTGTCTGTGCCAGAGATGAACAGTGAATTAGACTTTAAAAATGTCTTCCTTTTTAATAATTTAAAATGCTGTTAAACTACAGAGATAAAGCTTTCATCAATGTATATTTTATTTCCACAGTGTCCTTGTTCTTGTCACTATTGGTCAATAACCTCAGAGAGGGGTGTGGAGAAACCCTTTTGAAGATTGGAGCATGTTCTGGTTTTGACTTGCAGCAGAGGTTTCATGTTCATCATTCTTATTGTGGATCCCCCATTGCCATAAACAGACTGACAGACACAGAAGTAGATAAAAGAATCATCTTTTGTTTTTTATGATACTGACAATTGCTCCCAGTGCTTTAAGCACATATCCATCTCTCCAGGGCTGTTGAATGCAGCTTGCCTGCCTTGTTTGCAGTATAGCCAGTTAAGTGCTTCAATTTTTGCAGTACTTTGAGACTTCTCTCCTTGTGAAACATGCGCCACTGGAGCCCTGGTTTCTACCGTCAATATGTGGTTATTTTTGGAGCTCAGGTGCAGAACGGAAACCATAGGGTGATGACTGGCTGTCTTTTTGTGCATCAGGAGCTGGCTATTTATGACTGCAGCATTCCCTGACTACACAAAAGCTCTGGGAACGACTCTTCTCACTTCCTTCCAAAAAGACATTTTAAAAGCTACTGCATGTGACATGCTGCTGGTTATTGGTGGGCACCTGGGAACTTCAGAAAAATGCAGTTTGAACTACTAGTCTAGGCTACAGTGGTCATGACTGCCACTAGGGATATAGAGAGTGCAACAGTGCATTGTGTTATGTTGTTTCTGGGCAGCAGAATGGAGAACCAGATGGAAATTTTATTAAACATCCCTGAACAAGTCAGGCTAATCAACATAATCCTATGTCTGGATACCAGGATGGCAAAATTACTCATAATGTGGTATTGGCTGTGAGCAGCCAAGGTTAGTAAGGAAAATGTTTTTCATTCTGTGCAGAACTTGCAACAGTTTATTCACAGGATGAAAATGAGCGCATGTTGTAGAGGTTTTATTGCACAAACATGCATTCCCACAGGAGAAGGTGACATTTGGCCATCCTCTGCCAGTTGTATTTCCTGCCAATAGATCACTTCAAAGCCTCTGGCTTCACTAAGGGTCTGATAGCTTTGTCTGATTCTCCTTCCAGTCACTTCACATCGTGCTTGACCTTCTTTTGTTTCTCTGTGCACGTGTGTACTTGCATGCACATGCACACACATAACAAACCATTAAGTGCAGGCATGAGTACATAAGGACTGCTTGTAACCAGGACCTCCAGCCCTGAGAACATGCACCACTGCATACCTGAGCTAGAGAAACAGCTGCTTTGACTTAATGCACTCTTAGCCTCACTCTGACCAATAAAAGGAAACAGCCACAGGCGGGGTTTCTTTCTGGATGGAAGGAGGAAATCATGACTTGGTAGGAGCTGTTGAGAACAGTGTTCCTGAGGTCAATGTTCTGTACGTTCCTTGTCTGTCCTCCTTTGTGTAGCCAACAGAGTTGCAGGAGTTGCAATTTCCTATGGCATCCCCCTGCACCTTCTGGTTAGAACTTGCGGCTAGGTAACTGAGGGGAAGAACTGCCCTATTTGCCCTTTTCTCCTTCTCAGCTCCCTCCTCAGAGTCAGAGTAAATACATCCAAGAACCAGACAGATTGTTCTCAAGACTTAGCCTGGAGAAACCAATGGGACAGCTGTGCCTGTTTCTCATGCCTCCAAAAGAGTGCATCCCACAGAAGGAACCCTGGTGACCCACACATGGAAAAGGTCACCCCTGCTTCTCCGTATGGCCCTAGGTTTCCCTCTCCACCTCAGATGAAACAAGTAAACATTCTTTGGGTGCACCAGGTTTTGTCTTCTTGGGTTGGCTGAAAGATATCCCAGTGAAAGAGTGGTTTGTTTCAGGTCTGTGAGAGCAGGAGGAAGAGCTGAAGGAAAAAGTAAAGTTCCCAGCAAACACATTCTCTTCACCTTACTGCTCCAGAGAGCCTTTTCCCAAAGTACAGCCTGCAATGAGGAGAGAGATTTGCCTGCCTGGGGAAAAGCAAAATAGAAGAAATGAGGAACACTGCCTAGAAGTAGGGGAACTGAAAGGGGTCTGTGCCAAGGAGCACTGGTATGGCTATCTCTGCACCTACTTGGTAGCTGCCTCCAAGTACTGGCCTCATCCTCTTTTTTGATCCCAAGGGAAACCATGGTAACACATTCATTTTCTAAGTTCTTTTTGTTTTTTGTTTAAACAGTAGAGCAGTCATTCGAAGTCTTAATTTTGAGTACTGAAATCTGGTGGTTGTAGAACAGCAGCACCTTTCATTTGTCCTTCAAATTATTTAGAAACCTGGTAATTACAAAAGGAGGGTTGGGGCTGACTGGAGCTTGTTGCTGGTCTAAGAGATAAGAAAGTTGAGCTCTGGCTCTGCTTCCTTCCATGGATAAGGGCAGGAAATACATCCCAGGGAACAGCAACCCCAGCCAGAACAGGGAGGAGAGGGGTGGGCTCAAGTGGGCAGGGGGGAAGATAAAAAGATAAAACAGCTCCAGACAAGGAACTTCACAGTATAGTGACCCCCTGCCCATACGCACGCTCTCATGCCCTGGAGAGCCAGCAGTTCATGGATCGAGCGGCATAGAGGCCCTGGGAGGAGAACCCAGAGTAGTCACCACATGCCTTGGCTCAGTGTGGAAGTTCGCAGTCATTTTGCCAAGCAGCTATCCTGGCAGCCCTCCACCATCCCAGGAGGAAGCGGCTTCCCTCCCGCCACGCTGCCAGCTGAAGAAGAGAGGAAAGCCGAGGCGCGCGAGAGGGTGCATCAGAAAGCAACAGTCCTAGAGACAGGGGCCTGGCGTTGAGGGCACAGCTTAGACACGGGTATGTCTACAGGTTCGCGAGGTGCCCGAGGCCGAGACGGTCGCAGAGGTGGAGGGGGACTCCTCGTCCGTCGTGTTCCCCTGCTCCTCCTTGTGCAGGCCGAGGCTGATGTGGCTCTGCAGGGCTGCCGGTGTCAGCCACTCCTTGGGGAGGCAGCTCTGGAGGAAGGGGATACACGAGCTGAAGTAGGCCAGGCGGTTCACCCAGCGAGGAATCTCTTTCCCACATAGGATCTGCAGAGAGAACAGGAAAGGAGCATGGTAAATAGAGTCAAAACATGTGTACAGCAGCAATATTATCCCCATCAGCACCGCTGTCTCAGCAGAGCGAGTTCTGCATTGCTCAGAAGAGGGCTATTTGAAAGCAGGGCAGTCAGAAAGAGCTTTATACTCAAGCAATTAGCCTACTAGACATACATAGCGAGCCCTGCCAGCCACAGCCCTGGATCAGCAACACAGAGGAGATGGGGGAGTACAGTCCTTGGCCCTCAACTCCTCTGTTCTCCAGCTATTCTTTCTGCTCGCCTTTCTTCCTCATGTTAACATGGTAGGTCAGCAAAGCCATAAATCGCTATATCGGAGTCTCCTTTACTTATTATAGTACATTGCCTAATAATTTCTCTTTGTATACTGTTTTCTATATGTGAAAAAGAAAACAAAAAGCATAAATACCTAGCATCTCTCAAAGCTTGTTTCATCACACATGCCCTTGGCATTGATTTGGGTTACCTGCTGCTAGCAAAGATATTGTTTAGCTAGCAGTTGTATCATATTCAGCAGAACAAAACAATTTGGTGCATACTGCAGACCCTTTCTTCTCTAGCATTTGGCCACATATACACACAGGTGCCAGATTTCAGTAGCTATATCTGTGTTAGGCCACATTTCCTTTGGCATTTTACCATTTCCCTTACCAGATACAAAAGGAACATCTGCAGCTAACCAGCTGGGGTACTTCAAGAATCAATCTGTAGTAAATATACTGCCTGCGTATGTGCCCTATATCTAGGGCTAGTCTGAGGCAGCTTCAACATTCATAATGTCTGAGGTCACCTTCCCTCCCTCTCACAGCTGTCCCCTCTAAAGCGAGACAAAGGAAATTCCACCCTGCAGACCTGTTTCATGTTTTATGTGAATGAGGGATTCCAGACTTGTCCATACTGCATCTTATGCCAATAGTAAATTCCCTTACTCCTCCTCCAATATTCTCCCAGCTTAAAATTACACTTAATTAATTAAATACTAATTAATGCAAAAACTAAGAGGGTGTCTTGTTATTCACTGAAGAAAATATTTTTGAGATGTTTGCTGCCGACACTAGAAATGTATTGCTTGGACATTTAAATAAGGTTTCAGGTTTTCTGTATAACCAAAGCAATTCTTGAGCATGAGCCATGTGTGGCCACTATAACTCTTGTGGCAAAAGAGCAGCAGATGTGTCTGTCTTTGATAGAAAAACATAAGTCCTGCTCCAATAGTCACCTTGAGTACAAGGAAATTAGCTTATTCCAGCAGTGTGGAATTGCCTGTAAGGTGTGGAGAAAGCAAAACTGTGACTGCTAATTTGACTAGGGAAATCACTTTACTTCAGCCTCCATTGTTTCAAAGTGGAGAAATCAATCTGTGAAACTGAAAACATTATTACTAGGCATCAGAGATCAAACAGAATGATTTGACTGCTAAAATTACTTGCAAGCATACATGCCCCTGTTCTTTACTCAATACTTTATAAATTACAACCTGAGTTCTTAGCAGTGCACTCTACTTAATCTCAGACACAACCATATATATCCATATTCTTAATTTTTGTTTCCGAGACAGTTTCTTTATTAGTAGCCTTAGCTTCCATTGCTAGAGTCTGTCATAAACTTATGTCCTTCCCACCTGCCTGTTAGACTCATTCATAGAAATGTTAGTTTGATTTTCTCATCAGATACATATAATCATTTTCAGAAGAATACTGCTGAATTGCACATCACAAAATTTTCTGAGCAAAAGCCAACAAATACAGTAGAATCATCTCTGGATTTTGTAGCATTTTTCTTTCTCCTCTGCAGGAACTTAGGTAACATACAACTTAGGCATGACTGTTCGTGGATGTGTGCATGCATGTGTGCATCTGAGTCGAGTTCTTAAGCAGTCATAAGCCATTAAGAATTTCCCACAGACATTACTAGGATAACGATGATGTTTTGAAAAAAGTTAGCAGAGCAACCAAATAGGACAAGGTAAGAGTGCCTGGAATAGCAATACTGTTTTAAGATTTGACTTTCTTTTCTAGGCGGAACCCCAGCAACTGAAATGGCACCTCCTACTATGAAAGTGATGCTGAGGCCTTTTCTTTCTGTTTATGGGAGCTGCTTCATCCAGAATGAATCAGTGAGGCGAGGAAGAGCCATAAAAAGAACTGAGAGGTGTGTGGGTGTTCGGCTATCAATCAGCAAAGGGCAGTTTGAGGAGCTTAAGAATAATGAAGTCAAAGTGTTTCCCTTTCCTCAGTCCTGCTTGTCCTTATTTCTTGCCAGATCAGCCTTGGTACTGCTCTACAGCAGAGCATGAAGCTCAACAGAGGCAAAAAGACAACCTTAGAGAATGCCAATAACACTACATGCTCCTCTGTTTTCAGCTCCTTGTTGTGAAGTCAGTTGTTCTGGGGTATCCAGCACTACTTAGCAGATGGAGAAACAGCAAATAAACCTGATTGCAATGGGATTAAGCCAGCCAAGCTTAAACAAAACAGCACAAGCAGGATGAAGTAGATGTTTTCCAATTGTAGCTGGATCCACAGAAAAATCTACCTACCTGCCCTTCAGAGCAATTCTTGAGTGAAAACTCCACATTAGAACAATAGTTCACATAACCCTGGGTCATACGCTGTTTCCACCAGCAGAATTCTGTTTATTTATAGGTATCACATTTGCCAAAAAAGTGTTTTTCTTCAAGGAAAGCAACCCTGTCTGCAACAAGGCATGTGCCTGTCCTTTCAGACTCAGCAGATAAACTTTTATGGGTCAGGAATGAGTGGTGTAGACCTTCATGTGAAATTAACCCGCTATCATCCTTTCAGGAAACAGCAACCACTCAAGAAAATGTAACACACCTGACCTTGACACTTCACAGGAAAGCAGTTGAGCCTGTTGGTATCTGGTTGACCGGAGAAGAAACTTTAAGAAGCAAACAAGGAGACAGAAGGGCTAAGCCTATGTGAGACATAACTCTGAATGACAGCTCAGATGTTAGTTATAGCTAAGATATCTACCCAAGGCTGAACAGTGCTTGAGATGGTGTACCTGAGAGGCTGGGGTGCTAGCAGGAAAGCACGAAGCACTTCAGCCAAGGTAGAGATTCCCTAAGCTTTACAAACCTCCTATGAATGCATATACCCACTGTTGCTGAGCATAGCTCTTCCTCATCTTTTCCTTGCTGTAAGATCCCTGAAAATTTTCTACTTACCCCCTGAGTCCCTCACTGCCATAGACTGAAATCCAGCATTATGCGATAGTGGGTTAGTGGGTGTAGCTTCTAATCACCCACCAAGAGACCAGTCTCTGTTTCAGTCAGAATCTTCTCTGGAGGCTGCAGGTACTTTCAGCTTCCACTGTGCGGCACCTCACGATAGAGAGACAAGTCTCAGAGCTACAGCTGTTTCTGTGGGCTCTGCACAACAGCTGCAAATGACCTAGCTCGGATCTGTAGAGTCAAGTGGAAACAGCAGTTCAGACATTCATGGCAGAAGCCAAATGTGACAGAGAAATGGAACTTGACAGTTTGGGTGCTATTTCTGGGCAGCTGTCAAATCCACACCAGCATTTCAACTCATCAAGAAGCAACTAATTTGGGATATAAAAAGAGCCTCTAAGCATCTTAAGCCACACCATTTTGCGCTAAACAGTCACTGGGCAAAATGAACAAACAGCCCTGGGAGTAAGGACTGCAACCCATGACTCCTTCCTCCCCCAAATGCCCTAAAAACTTAAGATTCACATAGTCACTCAACGAGACCTTTTCTGTAAAGCTTTACTATGGCCGGGGGGAGCACACTTAGCTTAGTAGCTGGGATACAGGGTTTATAAGATGCCATCCAGGAACAGAAAAAGTCTCTTACCTTCTGGAAGAGGATGCTAATCAATGATTATATTTCCTTAAACAGTAGTGATATGCTCAGGTTTAAAAAAGTATTTTCAAAATCACATTGGACATTTCAATATTTAGAAAATAAACTGGAAATGATAACATGAGACAGAGAAAATGATACAGTCCAGTTAGCAAGACATCATAAATAGATCTCAGGCTTTTTTTTTTTTTTTCCTCAGATCCAAGGCTATAGAGACAGCAAACATATGAATTAGTCCAGTTTTTGTTTCCACACTGAGGTTTTAACAGTTCAGCACTAAATCCCCTACTACAATGCTAGTAGGAATGTGTCAGACACATCTCTGCACCCCCATGGCAGAGGGACAGAGCTGCCCCCATGGGGGTTCTGCCTGCAGAGAGATGCCAAGACTGGAGAAGATGGAGTAGATAACTGTAGGCCAAATGACACAGGTGGCTTACAGCACCTCAGCACTTAGGTTTCACCCTCGAAGTGACCCTGTGCCACATGCTCTAGGTGTCCCTGCTTGAGCAGAGAGGATGGATTGGATGATCTCTAGAGGTCCCTTCCAACCTCAACCATTCTGTGGTTCTGTAATTCATCTTCACTGACCAGGCCTCCAGTGGGAAGGCAGGGTAGCTGTAAATGTGACTACACGACACCTTGATGAACCACATGCAGAGCCAGATTATGACTGGCATTGCTATTTAGTAACATAGCGACACTGCAGCAAGGCTGTACCCACCCTGAGCACGAATGCCCTTGTAACCAGCGCTTGTAAGCACAGCCAGCAGCTGTAGGATGACAGGGCAGCAAGGGGCTTCATAACAGATGACCATAAATCCATGTAATTAAGTCTGGGCTTGTTAGTGACATTTAAAATACAGCTCTCACCATATGAATGAACAACTAATTAATTTGTATAATCGTGCCGTTCTTCACGGTGCAAAAACAAACTCTCCCTAGCAAGTGCTGCTTCCACCCCGTGACTGAGAAGAGCCTTGCCTCATACGGCATATGGTCATTCCTTCAAGTGCTACGGCCACACTGGCCACAACCAGGCCAGCCCTTGCCCATAGAGTAATGAGCATGAATAGCACTTTTTTTTTTTCTCTCTCCTGTCTCCTCTGAAAAGCTAACC